GGACCCAGGACTTGCTGGACCCTCCCTGAGCCAGAGAGCATCCTGGGTGGTGGCCACACCCAACAGTGACACCAACTTGCCAGAGGGTACCTGGCAGTGCCTGTGCTGGTGTGTTTGGGGGGGCACCTGGAACTATGGTGCTGGTGTGTTTGGCTGTTAGTGGACCACAGAATTTCTGCTGGGGCTTCTCAGCTGGGGAGGTAAAGCCCTTTGGGAACCTCAAAAGTGGCATAATGAAGTTAACACAGAAGGCTTGCTATGCACCAGGCACTCTTCAAAGATCTTTGTTGTATTATCTCAGGACAACCTTGTGCTACTTTGTAGAAGGGGAAATTGGCTTGGCGCCTGTGGTTCAATCGGCTAAGGCGCCAGCCACATACACCTAAGGTGGCGGGTTTGAATCCCCAGCCCGGGCCAGCCAAACAACAATGATGGCTGCAACCAAAAAATGGCCGGTGCTGTGGCGGGCGCCTGTAGTCCCAGCTACTTGGGAGGCTGAGGCAGGAGACTCGCTTGAGCCCAGGAGTTGGAGGTTGCTGTGAGCTGTGATGCCATGGCACTCTACCCAGGAGGATAGCTTGAGGCTCCGTCTCAAAAAAAAAAAGAAGGGGAAATTGAGGCCCAGAGAATTAAGTACCTTGCCTGAGTTCAGACACTAGAGGGTGGTAAATTCAACTCAGTGGGTCTGTCACACGATACCATTTTAGGCCCATTACAGCTGCCTACTCCTTGGGTCCCCAGGGTCAGAGCCCTGAAAAGCTGCATGATTTAGAGCCACACTTTAAACAAGCCGTTTGGATCAACCTGGATGTTCCCCCAATGACCAGAGTGGGGAAGGGTCTGAAAGCTGTGCTTTTCAAGTAAAGCAAGGAACTGGGAGGACATTTTGGTCAGAGAAGAGATGGGGAGTGGGCAGCCTCCTGACCGGCTTGTAGAAGAGACTGGACTTTTCCCTGGGGTTCTGGGTGGCAGCAGTAGCAGCAAGGGTGGGAGTTTTAGGGAGGCTGGCTTCGCTATTTCAGAATGAAGAATACCAAGGAATAAAACCGTCTGAGAGAAGAGAGGGAGGCCTTGGGTGGTAGTGAGCTTCCTGTTCAGGAAGGTGTGCAAGCAGGACAGACTGGGCACTTGGGAATGACGTTGAAAGATGTCTGCATCAAGTGGGGTGGCATCTGATGACCCATGGGACCCAGCCTAGAGACCCTGTGACTCTATGGTTCAGCGTGAGTAACGGTGCAGGATCACTTGGGCAGCATCGCTAGTGGGGACCCCCAAGGCTCCTCTGCACACCTCTGCCAGAGCAGGGCAGGGAACCTAGGAATCCTTCAAGGAATCTTCTTTAATGGACAGGAGCAAGATGGAAGGGTTCCCCACCATGACCACCAGCACCAGGTAGCTCCAGCCTCCTGGCAGGTGTTTGTCCAAGATCTTGAGACTTGAGTTAGAGTCCTGAGCTTGGGCCACCCATAATGTGACAAGTATTCTTTCTGGTCAACCAGGACATTCTTTATTATTATTATTTTTCTTTTTTATTGAATGGTAACTATGTACATTAATGCACTTCTGGGGTACAGTGTAGCCAGGACATTCTTAACAAGAAAATATGACACCCCACAGGCTCTGGACTTCTGTTGCCTGAGAGGAAGGTGCCTTTGCTGGAAACTTTCTCTTGGTTCCTCATCCAAATCTGAGCTACCTCAGAGGTTAAGAACTGGCAAAGTGTGACCACTGCATATTTGCCTGGCAGTGTGAGCAGCTCATTCTCTCCATTTCCTTTCAACGTTCTAGGTCTGTTTTGACAAGGGTGCTGCTCTTGAAACACCCACTTAATTTTATCCCAACAGAACAATATTCTGAGAACCCACCCCAACATCCCACTTCTTTCTCAGCAGTCCCTTTGGCTCAACTCCACTTATAGAATATTCAAGTTGGAAGGGACTTTGGGGGCTGTAATGTGCTTCAGGCTCCCCTGGGTTCAAATGGATATTCAGGTTTAGTAGGTCTGAGGTGGGGCCTCAGACACTGCATTTCTAATGAGCTTCCAGGCAATTGTGGAGATGTGGGTACAGCTTGTCAGAGGGCCAGCTTTAGGCTGCATGGATCTGGTCCAATCTGGTCATTTTACAGATGTGAAAGCTGAGTCTTGGAGGGCTTAAGTGATTTGCCTTATGGTCGGAATTCTGCTCTCCCCACTCCCAGGGCATCAGCTACCTGCTAAGGCCCCACTGCTAGCAAAAACACTAGTACCCCTTCTTAATTGGCTTTCACTGCCAGGGCCCCTTGCTTCACAGCCAGCATTTTGACCAACTCCAAAGGGATTTTTGAAAGTTTTTTTTTTTAAGTTGTTCTGACTTATGGATGTCTCCCCTTCTATGCTGGAAATGTTATAAAATCATCCGTCTCTCAGAAAAAACAAGCTGGGCATCTTTTGGATGCAACCATTTTAGTACTAGGCTAGAAAAGTGATGCTAGGCTAAATCCACTTGGCATTCCCTGCCTTGGAGTGGTCTGAGAATGGTTCTGTGTTTCTCTGCTGCCACCTGTCACCTGCCAAGGGAGACTAAGCTTGAGTATTTGACTACACGCCTCAGTTTCCAGGACTCCCAAACAGATAGAGACCAATCACAAAATGGCACTTGAAGGTGCAGGGAGATTCCCAGTGGACTAAGGACACCAAGGATTGGCCTAGGGCCAGTAAGAACTGGTTTGAGAGTCTAAGGCAGTCTCCACACTCTGTCCCCTCCTGCTGGTGGGAGGGCAAAGTGCCAGTCTGGGGACAAGGCCATAATGGTGTAAGGGGTAAAAGTCTCACTGAGGCCAAGAGAAGGCGGAATGTGACGGGAAGTAAGGAAAACTGCCTTTTATAGGCATGCTCTTTTCTTTCTTTCTTTTTCATCCAAGTTTACTCCCAGTGACAGTGCCACTCCAAGGCGCCTGGCCTGTCTGTGGTTGTGCCTGGGGCAGGCACCAGCATACCCCTTCCCCCATCTTGCCTGCAAATTGCATGACCTGCATCGGAATCCACAGGGGGCGGGGGAGCATCCTTTCAGATACTGGATGCAGTTGAATTCAATGCATTTTGCTTCCTCGCCTGCCCTCATCCCAGCTCGGGGAGGAGAACCCTGCTTTCTTCTGCGTGTGAATGCTGTAGTGTGTCTGCCTGCTCGGACTCCCCTAACCCTTTCTTCTCCTTCCCGACAGCGAATGCTCGGATTTTCTCATTGAACACCTCACACTTGGCATCTTTACGTTTTATTAAAAAAATTTTTTTCTGCCAAGGCAAAAAAACAGGGCCCCCCTCCCCTCCCTAATAGAATCTGAGCTCGTGTCGAAGGCTGCACCTGCTTTGCCCCCCTACCAGGAAGGGGTGCTTGTGTGGGAGGGAAGGAGGGAGGTTCTGCGCCCCCGAATCCGGAGAAAGCAGTCCGCCCGCCCCCTCACCCGGCAGCCAGCTCAGCGCACCCGAGAGCAGAGCCCGAGAAGCCGGCCTCTGACGGCGCTGGTGTAGCGCTTGCCAAAAAATGCCCCTTGCATCTCAATTTCCCGGCCGTTTCTCTCACATGCCCGGCTCACCCGGGGCCACCTCGGCTCTCCAGCGCAGCCCTTTCGGCGCTTGTTCTTTCCTTCCCCGTTCCCTGTTTGCCCAAGCAAGCAAAACGCACTGCCAAGAAGGCGCAGTGGGCGCGGGGGCACCAAGCGTGCCAAGACCCGCAGTCCCCTCCCAGCCGAGCCCAGCTCCTTGGACTCCGGATTCCAGAAATGAGTGTCATTCACACCAAGGACCTCGCGTATGCGGCCCGGATCCCAGGCTCCGGGTTCCTCTCTGGGGTTCCTGTGCGCTCCCGGCCCCCGAGTCGCCGTCAGCGAGCCCGCGCCCCTCCTTCCCCAGGCTCGGGTGCGCTCGCTGTTCTCCTCGGCCACGTTCATTTCACTTCCTCCCGCGGTCCGGATTGCAGCAAAACCGGGCAGCGCGAGGGCCAAAAAGTGGAAAGGAGAGCGCCTTTCCGTGTCGCGCAGCTAGCTCGCTAACTCCCTCTCCCTAGCCCCGACCCTCACAATCCCAACTGCAACTTTTTCCCTTCCGTCTCGGTTTCCCCTCGGCTGCGGCGAGCGGACGCCGGGCTGCGAGGCGTGG